AATGATTCTTTTTATCATATATATTATCTTTGAACATTGATTCTTTAGAGAAATGATTTAGTTTCTTGTAGGAACATTATTGAACATTTAAATCTTTGAAAACGCCCACTGATTTAAACCCCAATTAGCAGTATATTTAGGCATATACTTATGCTCATATAAAAGGGGAGATGTTACAATATTGCTTTGTTACGTCATTGTAATTCAATACTTTAGTCTGAATAAAGCAGTTCATCTACGCCACCAACTTGCGAACATTGAAACAACTCCTGTACGCGCGACCCTAACATTGAGTCCATTGTTATGTCAAATGCTGAATTTTTAGAAATATCATACAGGCACACTTACACTTCACACCAATAAATAAACTCAACTTATTTGACTCTTCGAAGATGAAATTCAGTCGACTCATATTCATAATAAATTATAACTATATTTAAGAAATATGAAGCGACACGCGTCTCTGTCCTCTGATATAAACACAGTGGGAGTTGAAAAACACGAGAAAAGCAAGCTTAGAAACACGAGCGTAGCTTCCTCTCTGTGTTTTTCCAGCGAAAAACAAATTTTAGATAAAAAAGATAGAGTGGCACTGTCTTTTCGCAAAAAGGGGTATGTATATCTGCGTAGATTTGGGAATCAACAAATGAATTCATTCGATATCTGACGAAAAAATTCCTGTATTTTACTCGAAAAAACGACATCGCATTCGTTTTTCTCGTAACCCAATGATGTCCAGTAGGCAAAGTACAGCGACGCCATTTTGTGCAGCAAAGCATGATGGTAGTTGTAGTCCTCGTGCTTTTTTATATTTGCTAAAATTGTCCTTCTGAAATGTTTTTGCTTTTTCTCCACCAAAATAGAAGACGTTCTGCCATTTCTACCACCAAAACATAAAAAGCCTTTTTAGGAGATATTTTAGGGTCTAGAGGGCGTGTGTGAGGGCTACAAATACCATCATGCTTTGCTACACAAAATGGCATGAATGAACATTGCCTATTAAGGAATAATTGAACGAGGAAATTTGAAAATATGAAATTTTGACCATTCATTTACATTCATTTTGACCATTCATTTACTTCTCCTTTAAACACTAAGTAGTATCGAAATAGTAATTGTTCCACAGTCATATATAAACCAATCTAGCCTGCGTAGCGGCCCTAAGGGGATTGGGGAGGGCCGGCCGAGCGGGGAGTGGGGAGAAAAATAGCTCGGCCGGCCCTCCCCAATCCCCTTAGGGCCGCTACGCAGGCTAAAACCAATCTAATCTAATACATTTATATAAATTAGCAATAATTTCACAGTTTTGTAAAATCAGCAAACTCGTTAAATACGTTTTTCTGCTGGTTCACAAAGAACTCGTATAAGCATTTTTCACGTCCGAACCGTAAATTTCCGTAAACAAACAGCACTTTTTTAAAAAAAAGTAACTGTACAAAGAATCTATTCGAGTTCATATATGATTGGTATATAGTTAGATCTTTTGTTTAATACCTAGACTAGCTAGCGTAAAAAGTTAAATATTTACAATTGATCTATTATTTCGCGTGGTCTGACTCTTTGATGATAATGATAATGACGACTTGCTTGTGATGAGGTACGTCTGNNNCYACCTTGCTTACTGACTTTGCTATTTTTCTTTTTCTTTCAGTATTACCTAACACAGTAGCCAATAGATTGACAGGAAATTTGGGTTACATGACATCGCCCATCATCGGAGACAACATTGAAGACGTCATTACTGTTACAGAAAGTGAAATTATTTCAGCGATGAGGCTGGTCTGGGAACGAATGAAGCTCGTTATTGAGCCATCGGCTGCTGTTGGGTGGCAGCGGTTTTAAGTGAAAAATTTCGTGACGCGAAAACTAAGGACCTGACTAAAGTTGGAATCATTTTATGTTGTGGCAATGCTGATCTTGATCTATCATGAATTATGGACCTATCCATCACCTACCATGGATTATTTCGTTGGACAGCAATAGTTATTTCAATAATCAGAATCATATTCAAGTTTTCATGTCCTCGTTTTTATTTGCTTTGTTCGGGTAAACACTCCTGCATGCGCGACCCTAACATTGAGTCCGTTATGTCAAATGCTGCATTTTGAGAAACAACATACTGACATACTTACACTTCACACCAATAAATAAACTCAACTTATTTGACTCTTCGAAGATGAAATTCAGTCGACTCATATTCATAATAAATTATAACTATATTTAAGAAATATAAAGCGACACGCGTCTCTGTCCTCTGATATAAACACAGTGGGAGTTGAAAAACACGAGAAAAGCAAGCTTAGAAACACGAGCGTAGCTTCCTCTCGGCGTTTTTCCAGCGAAAAACAATTTTAGATAAGAAAAAGATAGTGGCACTGTCTTTTAGCAAAAAGGGGTATGTATATCTGCCTAGATTTGGGAATCAAGAAATGAATTCATTCGATATCTCACGAAAAAAATTCCATGATGTATTTTACTCGAAAAAAACGACATCGCATTCGTTTTTCTCGTAACCCAATGATGTCCAGTAGGCTATGTGCAGCGAAGCCATTTTAATGTGCAGCAAAGCATGATAGTAGTTGTAGTTCTCGTGCTTTTTCATATTCGCTAAAATTGTCCTTCCTGAAATGCTTTTGCTTTTTCTCCACCAAAATAGAAGACGTTCTGCCATTTCTACCACCAAAACATAAAAAGGCTTTTAAGGAGATATTTTAGGGTTTATAATAAGTGTGAGGACTACAAATACCATCATGCTTTGCTGCACAAAATGGCATGGCATTGCCTATTAAGGAATAATTGGATGAGGAAATGTGAAAATGTGAAATTTTGACCACTCATTTACTTCCCCTTTAAACACTAACCAAGTAGTATCGAAATAGTAATTGTTCCACAGTCCGATATGAACCAATCTAATCTAATACATTTATGTAAATTAGCAATTATTTCACAATTTCGTAAAATCAGCAAACTCGTTAAACAAGTGTTTCTGCTGGTTCACAAGGAACTCGTATGAGCTTTTTTTCCCGTCCGAACCGAGTAAATTTCCGTAAACAAACCGCATTTTTTTTTAAAAGAAACTGTACAAAGAATCTATTCGAGGTCATATATGATTGGTATATAGTTAGATCTTTTGTTTAATACCTAGACTAGCTAGCGTAAAAAGTTTAATATTTACAATTGATTTATTATTTCGCGTGGTCTGACTCTTTGATGATAATGATAATGACGACTTGCTTGTGATGAGGTACGTCTGATATGGGATAGCAACCATTCAAGTTTACTCCGTGATGCCACTAGAGACCGGTTTGCTCCGAGGCTGAAAACGAATCAAATAATGTCTCACATCTAAATAAATAGCAACACCACCAAATAACTGTAATAAACATTGCATCATTTGTAAGAGAGCTTYYTCMAAAATGGCCGCCACTCGTATWARCATATTTTTTGTTTTCAACTGGAAGAATGAAAATGAAATTCTAAGCTCTGTAAAAACCTTGTAATTTTAAAGTGGATCAAGGGTGCCACGGCAAAAGTTTTTGAAATCTATCTATYTATCCAAGGGAATTCGGGATACACTCAAGATATACACAAGAAGTCAGATAAGTGAATTTCTACGATACTCAAAGCTATAACAAATACAATCGTAATATTATTCAAAAACTGTTATGATTGTCCTGGCGCCCTTGAGTGGATAGAGAGAGTGTGTGTGAGGGTATTGGGGGATGGGTTGAGGCTGTGAAGGGGTGTTTTCAGCGTATCATTAGGTCTTAACGCTTCGATTGCACTTCTTACCTTGATGAAGACGTGCGTTGGGATCATTTTTTGCGCATGCTCGTCCCARCTTGTTTGAAAACGAGGTAAATTCAAATGGAGTTTTGGAAGAGTCACGTGTCCTGGGACAAGTGGATATAAATTATAGGATAATCTGTGATCTGAGCCTGGAAGGAGCCTGAACTGGACCTATAGAAAATAATGCACAGTAAAATTACACAATAACAAAATCGAGCAATCGCAAAAAAAAATCGCACGTTTGCTAATGTCAAAGTTCATGCAAGAGGTGTATGTTATGTAATTTTCTGCCAAAGTACTCGAACAAGAAGCAATGCCGTTAAAAAAACTTTGGCTGGCGTTTGAGAGCTCTTTTATAGATATCATCAATAATGACAGTRAATGACGATGATAATATTAGAAAATAACAACAGATCACCTGTTTTTGTCCAGAAAACATAAAAGCATCGCTTGGTTCAATGGTGACTTCAACTTCCTGTACTTGTAGTGTACGGTTGTGAATAACATAGGACATTGGTAATAACGTTTGCACACATCCATAACATGGTAATTCTAGAGATACAATAGTGTATATTAAGACATATGCAAAACACAGTGAAGTACCAGCGAAACCAGGCATTCAGCTGACCGTTCGGAAAGAGACTAGGACGGACGAGAGATATAAAGAGGGATTCCTATTTCTCTCATCTACCACAATCTTCTTCGGAGAAATCGAGGGAAAATAGAAGGAGAGGAAATGGGGGGAGGAGTGTTTAGTAAAAAAAAATTCAAACTAAAAAAGCTTGAAATGACATCCAGGGATTTGTTCTTGAACGAAGATAATAAAAACACACGTGAAATTGAGCCGGTAATCTCTTATTGGCTCAGTAACATGATTCATGGGTAGACCATGCCACCAGGCTCTTGTTCCCCCCCATCCCCCCTCCTCCCTTAGATCCACAAAAGGGAAGAAAAGAGAAAAGAATCACTAGCGGTCTACCTGTATGTATAAAGAATGGTACGCTCTCCACAGTGACTGACGGGAAGGTAAGCTCAGTGATGACAGCTGGGCAGTCTAAAGGCGATGAAGCTCTACGCCACTCAAGAACTAGACTACCAATATTGACAACCTTGTGATAGCTACTGCCTTCGCGAGCCGCCAAGCAGTAACACTCCGATGCACTTTCTCCTTGCTGCAGTAAAACTTTAAAAAGAAACTAACTTGTAAACTCATGAATAATTAATGAGGAAAACACAATAGAAATCAMCCGTGAAGAGTGCTGTAAAATTCCATACAACACGCCCGCTCATGTTGTAAATATTACATATTTAACTGAKATGCATCTATTTCAAACGATTGTAGCGAGAGAATGGACGACACACGACCTAAATGTGTTGTGGGAATTTAATATYAATAGATAGATTGATTCGTTTAATTGACACCTCTTGCAGAATAATCTGAATTACAGGTGGGCCAGCAAAAKTAAGCGTTAAGCAAATGGGACAATGTACACGTAACAAAGTTCTTAAATCGATTAGTTGCCGTAGATTCTAAGGAAAAATCCCTTTGATCTCGTCAGTTATATGGAAGAGCCCTAGGCACGATCCTACTCTTTACTAATGTATATACTGACAAATATTCACAGATTTGCTGAAGAACAAAGCATAATCCGGCATGCAAAACTGCCCAGAGAGTCTAGCGGGTACCTACGAGATTCCTGGCGATACACACCAAAAATTAGTTTGTAAATAGGACGAGACACGTCAATATAGCTAATTTAGTCTTATGGTTTTAGTACGAGAAGTGCTTTTGTATACAGGACCTAAACATACCTCCTTCAAGCTGTGACTCCATTTTTTCTCTGACAAAATCTACTTCGGATGACTGAAATCAAACATAACGCTTAACTTAAATCGTGCAGTTGGGTAGAGGAGCAAAACAAATCCAACACAAATTAAGGTGGCTCACTAGATTAAGTCTTGTCGTCACCATAGTAACGGGCCAAGGCGAAGTACACTTGATACTGGCTAGCAATAGGAATGGTTCTTCTTCACTGACTTGATCAAGGCGTTCAAGCTGTAATAAAACATACTTTCGTTAGCGCTCCAAGAAATATGAACTGTGAGAAATTCGCTTTTTAAGGTGCTTTGCTTAAAATTCAAAGAAATTTTGGTCCCTTTTTAAACTTGGACTTGATGATAAATAGATATGTAGAAAATGATACAGAAAAGAGAGCAACTCAGGAAAATCCAGTTTGATCCGTACGATTGCAATCGCCATTTTGAATCTCGGTGTTTGTTCGRGGACGTACAAATCTAAACTAAATCCCGCAAATTAATTTGGATATTAGTGGTAAACAATACATGCATCAGTACTTTCAGTCGGAGAACAATGCGTTCGCCATCTTGAAAAGTGGTACTCGAATCACTAAATTATAACTACTGAAGGAATTAAAAGCTTCTCAGCTAATGTCAACTTAATATAATACGATATAATGATAGATTAGTTGACTACGAAATGTGTTCTAAGGCACAGCATTGTGATTCAGATCTCACTTTTCAAGATGGCGGACGCATTGTTCTCCGAAACTCCTGATGCATGTATATAACCAGAATCGAAAGTGTTTATCGGGAATTGATATTTGTTTTTCTCATTCATTGTAACTTGGCATCATCTCTGATGACCATACGAAACCATGCAGGAATAAATCAATAATAAAAGTCTCTCTAACAATTTATCATTGTACAAATGCTCTATTCTTCGTTTGCAGGTTACGTCACAGCGGCCATCTTGSAGGAACTTTAACAAAGGATTTCTCATTAGTATGTATTGTTCATTCCTCCAACATGGCCGCCGTTCTTTTATCTTTTGAATCTCATGGGAATGGTTGAAAACGACCAATACAAAGTTGAGCACTACATGAATACTATTCTAAATGAGTCAAAGGAATAATAAATTATTTTTCTATATGTTTATTGTTTTACTTACTCTAAGACTTGTTAACGATAATGAAATATCAAACGGCATAACAGTCTTGGTGATGAGTTTTTGTTCTTTGACACACGTGCATTGAATGGAGGTCGAGTCTTCTCCAGATGACACATTAATGGAATACGTAACCTTGTTGTAATAAATGAAGGAAAATTAAATGTTGTCTAGAGTCCCTGAGATAATAGAGGTTAAGCATGACGTTCACGGTAAACGGCAGACGGCAGAAATGATCACGTGATCCGCTTTTTGGGGATTTACCGCGGTTACAGTTTCAACGCGAGAGTGGCCTATTTTGAGTTTGCCATAATTGTGATAAGTCGCTCTTTCCAATGACTACCTGTAGCACAAAGGTCAGGCACGAAATTCTTAGGTCATTGGTTAAGCTCTGCCGTTAGCCGAAAGCCGTAAACGTGATTTTAATAATGGCACAGTTTATTATACACAAAGCAAAATGTGCAATGGTGAGATATTTCTTTCATTTAAAGTTATGTTTTAACAAGTTTATAATATACTAATGACTATAACGCTAAGATACGCTATATTCTTCCTTCAATACATAGAGAAACTGCAAACATAAGTTTTCCTAAACGCAATCCAGTAATGATTTACTCCTCTAATGACGTCATGTGTGTTTTGCCGAATTACATTATTACGTTATTGAGTAAAGTTCTAAGTAGAAGCTACAGTGTTTCTTCGCGAAATTTAAAATATTGTAAGTCGAAAGTTCTTCGCAAGAGCATTAACTGTTATAATCGTAAGATTTATGAGATGTATTAACTAGTTCTCACTAGATCCTACTGTACCTTTGCTACTAACGCCCGGCTTCCTACTTGAGCACATCTTACGTAATAAATCTGCTCCAACTGATAGTGTAAAGAACAAAAACACAATTATAAAATGCATTAACATCATCAAGGTCGTTGCGACCGCAAATACGCGTCGTGCGCAAATTTGTCTTTCAGATCAAGGAAAAGATCAACATGGCTGTGTTCCAAAACGACATGTAACGCGTAAGAGGTGGAAAAAAAGAAGAACATGAAGAAGAAACTTGAAAGTGATATATTATTTCTTAACCTCCTTTCCATCCAGTCCCTCTCGATGAAARAAGACGTGGCTTTGTATTGTAGCATCTTGCCCAGTTGCTGGTGGCTCAAGACAAATGGTACCTGAATAAAGAAAATCATAAATTATTCTTAATTCTTCCTTCTGCGCAAACTGATTATTCTGATTTATGAGTGACAGCTTAAGATGCTCATTCCCAACTTCCYGCTCTTTTCTTCATATGGCATATAGACTATCAAAATCGGAGATGCTAAATTTTGGCGGCGACGAGGAGAACAATAACAGTGATGGCTGACAGAGTTTGCTTTGCTAAGGGAAAACTTGTGTTAGCCTATCTTTGACTTACTTATRTCAACTATACTTGGGTCATGTTCTTCTTGGAAACCAAACCAGATTCTAAAGGAAAGATCAAACACATTAATAAACACACAACACATGAAAGAAGTTAGGAAGATGAGGTRCACAAAAAGACGCTTATTTCCTAAATAAGTGCTTAATAAAGACTATTATACTACTAAAACTTTTTTTCCATGCCTCGTTAGGGTCTTCTCACTTACTTCAAGTCTTTTGGATCTKCTTCTTCTTCAAGACTCTTTACTTTCAGTTTAAGCTTAAAAAATTCATTCACAAGAGCTGGAGTGTCATGTTCAAGCTCAAGCTCCATGTTAGGCTCACGAGGATTGATTCTGCCAGAGAAACAAGAATCAACTGTAAAACGACGTCACACATAATCATGAAAAAATCTAAAAATCCTGTGCTACACTATGCAGTTTTCTCAGTAWCTTGTCTCATAACTAAGAAATTTTGCTGTAGAATTGCACGTTGTATTTTTAACTCGGAGATTGCGTTAGCAATTGAAGAGGAACGATCTGAGGAACGATCTGTCACTCACTAAGTCACTCACTCACTCACTCACTCACTCACTTTCCTGTAAACTGCGTAAACTTATTTGACTTATTATTTTTTACTTAGACTCACTGAAGACTAGAGACAATCTGTAATGACTCCCAGTCCAACTGATCTTCTATATCAGAACCTTTATGTCCGTGCTTATCAAAGAAGTTAACAATACTTCTTCCTTCACTTCCACCGCCATTCCATACTAACAACCCACAGCGTTTTTGTGGAGATCCTATTTCTAATGCTATTGAAGATATCTATAAACAAAAGGGGAAAAACACCATTAACTCCAAAAAATAATGAGCTGTCAAAATTAGTAGAGATGGGGAGGTTTTCAAGAGAAATAATCATAGGCTACCCAACTATTGCTTTAAAGAAAAGAATGAATGCGCACGCTTTTATTATCTTATCGAATGGTCGCGCGCTTGGGTTACCTGTGGTATATTACGTCACGATCCCGTGCCTCGCGGGATACAAACTAGTCTGTGACAAGGTATGAAACACTGGTCACGTGATGGATCGATGTGTGCCCCAGGTATAGTGTCCACCCCTCCCTACCTTTTTTCATTCGTGAAGACTTCGTGACCCATCGTAAACGATCGTAAACAATCGTGAGTTTCTCGAGGCGAAAAAAAATGTCAAGGATAAAGCTTTAAAATTCAATTTTCTCTAAAAAAAGGAAAGGAAACATACAGACAAGAAGCAAAATTAACAAAAAAACAAAACAATATGAAAAGTTTTCGAGGTTTTCTAGTTTCAAACGACTATATTAGCTATATTTAATTGACTTTCCATTTTGATAGTAAAACAATGAAAATCTTTATAACAAAAACAAAGCTTTATTATCTCTAAGTACAAGAAATAGACATATTTTGAACAAGTTTATTATTCATAGATCTTAATTACCTTGGCTTGAATGTGCTTTGAAACCGCATCGCAAAAAAAAAATGGTTAGGTTGAGTTGAAACGACTCAATTCAACCGAACGAAGCATTTTCSGGTTTTCAAACATCAAAAWTCTCTACATAACAAAATTCATTATCTAAATAATCTGAAATAAAGCGGTGAAACGTAAGGTGTCATAAAATGTAATGGAAAGTTCTCAAAACTGCCGGTGGTTTGCAAGAAAAAAGCCGATAGATTTCATAGAAACGAAAGTGCTTGACATACCTCTCAAAGTATCAGGAAAGGATCTCTAGTTTCAACTAGTCCCTCATTCAAGAAGGCTTGCTTTAACTGCATATGGGCATAACAAATTTAAGTCTTATAAGCTTAAACTCAAGTAAAAATCCRCGTAAGTTATGAACTTTTCTGCTCCATTTTTCGAGTTTTTGAAATGACAAGAGTCTTCAATAAGATCTTTGCCTTTAAAATAATTGTTCCTCACAAATGTACTGTCTCATCTTTTGCATGAAGTCTCAAAGTTTCAGGATATTGGCATAAAGCTTCCCATCAAAAACTGAAAATCAGCSTAAGACCAACCAAGTAATTCAGGACACGAATCGGACACGAGCGAATGCACGGTAGCGGATGACTCTCGGAAAAATCTCGACTGTTTACGAAAGGCCTCGAAGTCTTCCCGAATAAAAAAAGCTAGGGAGGGGTGGACACTATACCTGGGGCACACATCGGTCCACGGCGAGTAAAATGCTTATTGTTCATTTTCTCGTCGTGAAATTAACATTTCAAACTGAAAATCATGAATTAGGTAGGAAACCTGACGATGTGTTGTTATTTGAAAGAAAATCGTCGTGTTCTGTTGTTTTTCGKTKRAAAAGRAGCAAAATTATATTTGTCACGTGACCAGTGTTTCATACCTTGTCACAGACTAGTTTGTATCCCGCGAGGCGCGGGATCGTGACGTAAGGTAACCCGCAGGTAACCAATTCGATAACATACCCGCGATCCGCGAGGCAAGGCAGGCGGTGTTGGACACAGCGCCAAAAGGATCCTGGGTTTTAATTTTGACCAATCATGTTGTGCCATTTCGAATTTGGCGTGAATCTCAAAAGCAGAGATGGCGACGGCCCAGGACTCGATATGTGCGTACAAAAATGCGTTTTTAGATGAATTTTAGAGCGCTGTTTGACAAAGAACACAAGAAATCGGTAGTATATTTTATACTTTTGTGGATGTTGCAATACATTCAGCATATATTTTCGCTTCATAGCGAAAAAATAGCTTTAAAAATTTTGTTGTCTTTTTTACCAAGGACAAGTCGGCAATTTTGACATTGCCAGACGTTTTTCATAGTTGTGATCGAAATATTTAATCAATTGTCTTGATATTAACAATGTAAAACGAGAAATAAATTCTTAATGTCCTGGTTGTATGGCGCACGATGGCGCATCAGTATTTATTCACTTTTGAAGCAACTAAAGTTTAGCGAATTTTGATTCTTCGTAGAAATTATGCTCTCAATTTTACTTATTTTTTTCGATATTTATCATGGGTTATATTTCAATATGTGTTTGTACCATGTTTGTGGTAAGTTAAAAGAATATAAAAGCGTCTGTAAAAGGCATAATAATAAAGAATTTGAACAAAAAACACAATCAAATTAAATTTCTTGCGGCCGAGGTTTCCCGCCAAAATTTTGACCTTGAACAACTTTTGACGCGAGCGTCACCTCTCTCATAGTCAAGGTCAACTTCACTTTTGAAATTATTGACAGTTTTAAGATTGAAAAAGTCAATCCCTTTTTTGCATTTTTGC